TTTTTTCTTAATTTTTCATAATATGAGAATATTTCAATATGCAATTGTATGAACACAGAAGTTGGCAGCCTGCCCTCAAAGTGGGCACAATACTTGAAACCATAATAAATTTCATCTAGTTGACAAGATTTCCAGCTGCCCTTGTACCCTAAATAGTCTGCATATCTGATTTGGGTCTTAGTGGTTGTTTTTAGACCTGTCCCATTACTGAGGGGAGGCAGGTAGCCAAAGAAGTTAGCACTAATTCTGTTTCTTTAGGGCTGGCAGCTGACATGGCCCTTGTATAGATACCATGCAGAGAAATAGTAAGGCTGCTGTTGTTTTGGCCCTTCACTGTGGAAAGTTCTTCCTGTCTTCAGTCTGAAAAGATTTAGCCTGAAAACTATTATCAGCATTCCTGAGTGAAAACTCTCCTTTTGTGATTTGTGTGAAAAATGCTATTGCTTGCTGTGGAAGTTCCTAGAGAAACAAAGTTATGTGACGTACGTTTGAAGAAAATAGTCTCAATTTTAAATTTTTCCGTTTGAAATTAATGAGTTGATCTTTAAGACAGGAGTAGCCACGTAATTAGGTATGTTTGCTAGTTCATGAGGGCATATCTGCTTATTAGCCATTAGGAAACAAAACATTTTGATGTAATTCCTCACTTTCTGTCAAGATCAGGCACAGAGATGGGCATGAGCTGTGCAAGCAACTCTTAGGGATGTTTTTTTTGCCCACAACACTGGCATCTTCATCACTGATATTACTGTCTGCTAGGTTTGTCTTGTCAAATAACCAAAGTATGGAGTGAATTGAGACTTCCATGCAGTTAAATTGCTTTTTAATGAAATGGCAGAATATGTCCTACCTAATGACAAGACAGGATTACAGTAAATATGCTTGCTGTAATCTTTATTTCTTATTGCACTTGGATTTTAAGTGCATCTACACTGAAGTCAGAGGACCACCTACACCATTCTGTCCCTTCAAGTGATAAAATTTTACATAAATTTATTGAAAGGCAGCACAGTATGTTACTACCTTTCCAAGTGTTGCAATAATATTTTCATCCTAATTCACAACTCCAAGCTTTGCATTTATGGGGTATGCAAGTATTGTGATGATTTTCTAATAGAGGGTCATGTCATCCTGATGTTAGGGATTTTTTTCACATTTTACTTAGACTAGCATATTTTAATCTCTAATAATCTCTAATCTAGTAATCTTTTAATCTTTAGTATCTCTCAAACTTTTCATGTTTGGTTGTGCTGATAACTTTTGAGAAATCTGATTTTCTCATTTTGCACTGCATGCCATAATATAATTAAATGTTTTTTCACTTGGGCAAAAGTGAAGAATACCTTAATATCTGCAGAAGTAAGAATGCATTAACTGTTTCAGTGTTAATTTTCTAAAAATGCATGGCTTCTAAAATGTACCCAGTGTAAAAAAGTTGAAAATTAAAAACAAATTTTATAGTCTTGATTTAGTTTTTAAGAAGAAAATGCCAGACCATCAGGTTTTACTGTCTCTGCTCCATGGTAGTAGACCTTGCACTTCTGCAGAGTCTTCATGATTTCTTAGATAACTTTTCTGCCTGTGTTGTGAGACTCCAGCCACTTGGATCAAATGGCCAGTGTGGTGCCTCATTGTCCCCAAAAAGATCCATCTATTGCAGTGTGCAATTACTCCAGAAAAAATAAATGAGTTTGCCTGTGCAAGAGGCAGTAGATGTTGATCTTCACTGAATTTTTTTCTTACTTTGCTCTCTTTTATGTATTAATTGGAAAAGTTCTGGAGTGAAACCGTGGCTTTAGTGGGAATTCGGCAGGTCAGCTATCCTGCTGGTATTGACCCTAGGAGCTACATCCCTTAATTGTGTAACTGACTGTTAGTTGATCTTCCTGCTTCGATATTGTAGCTATTAGACCTGATCCAGGAAAGCACTTAAATGTCTGTGTAACTTTATGCGTGTGAATAGTTTTGCTCGTTCCAGTGGGAATTCTGACATGCATCTGTGCTGAAGTGCTTTGCTGGATCAGGTCCTACGCCTCCACTGGAAGCCTCCTAGGGATATGACAGCATTGTCAACCAAGCTAATATGACAGAAAGAGTCTATATTTTTCTTTTTAATTGAAGATTCCCAAGAGAAAGTTGTGCTTGGAAAATTCCTGTATCAACCTATCCATATAGTTGTCTGTTTTTAAAAGATATAATGAAAGGAGATGTAGACAGTAAGAGGTATTTGTTCTCAGCTTATCTAAAATGTAACTTTTGAAATACATTTTGTCATTAGGTAGAACTAAAAGAAATCTCTAGAACACTGTATAGGTATTAAAGAAGTTAAGTTTAATGATGGTTGCTGAAGGACAAATATAGTCTCTATGCATAGGCATCAGTGCATTCAGAAGTACATCATTGTGAGTGTTTTCTGGTTTGGATCAATACTACTTTCATTAGTGTTCTGTTTCACTTTGTTTGTTAGGTGGTGGGTGACTAGTATTTTCAAGTAATTAATATGAATTATTGTTATAGGAAAGCATTTCTGCAGTGAGCTATATTTGTGTAAGTGATAACTGGTATACTTACACTGATGAACCTTTTGTGGGGTTTTTTTTTATTTTTACAAGAAGGCATAGGTGATTGTCTTTGAATTCAGAACTTCTCTATCAGAGAAGCAGGCATATCAGATGTCACCAGCACAGTGCTTTCTGAGCCTAGCTAGCAAACTGCCTTTGTCAGCATGTTAAAATGGATATTAAAGGATATGAAAAGTCTTGCATGACCGAGCAGTGAACTTCATGTTAACTGTGCATTTAACAGTGCAAATCTTTAAAAGTGAAGTCTCTAGTGCAGCATTTAATTGATAAACTTTGCAGTTGTGGTTTCAGGAGTCTGCATATCTCTGGCTACTGTTCTGGCTTCAAGTACAAAGGTTTAGTAAAGTCGTTTTCTGAAATGCTGTGAAGGCTTTAACATCCTACAGCAGTCATGGTTGCTGTTTAAATTAGGCTGCAAGGATGATTAAGGACTGGGGCACCTTCTATACAAGGAAAAACCAAGAAAACTGGAAATGCTCAGCCTGGAGGAGGCTCAGAGGGACCTTAAAAAGGGTTGTAAGTACCTGATGGGAGAGAATGTGGAATGGAGCAGCAGATCCTTCTCAGCAGAGCCCACTATTAGTACAAGAGGCAATGGGCACAGACTGGAACACAGCAAATTCAATCTGGACCCAAGAAAACATTTAGCTATTATTAGAGTGGTGCAACACTGGAATGGGTTGACCAGACAGGTTGTGAAGTCTCCATGCAGCTGGACATGATCTGGGGCAGCCTGCTGTAGCAAACCCTGTTTCAGCAGGAGTGTTGGGCAAAGCAGTCTGTGTTCTCCTGAGGTGTATTCAACCTAAACACCTCTGTGAATGAATGCATTACTTCTGTGATGCAGTAAAAGGACTTATAGGTTATTTTATACATATAATTATAGGCATGTTCATGTTTTCATACATGTGTGTATGTGTGAAATCAGCTGGTGAACACTGGAGATACTTCCAGTATTCCTGTTTTAGCATTGTGACCAAACCATTGTGCATATATGTATCTATTTACTCTAGAATCCTGTCTGTTCTTCCTCTAACCCTCTCCTGATTTGCTTAAAGATGTATTTAAATGTAAGACACTGTTGAAATGACTGGTACCCTGTGGGGTTGATTCTGGACATAGCTTTTAAAGGCCCACAGCTTTTTTTGTCCCACTTTTCTTATTCTTGCACAGGTGCATGTGGTAGAAAAAACAGCCTTGGCAACAAGGTCGGGCGTTGTTATGTTTGTTTTTTTATATTTTTTTTGGGTGGGGTTTGTTTTGTTTTTAATTTTTATTGAATTGGGATGCTTGTGTTTTCTTGGTTTTTTTGTTGTTTTTTTTTTCTTTTGGGCTTCTGTGGGATTCTTGTGGGATTTCTTATTTGGAAAGATTTTTGGAATACCTCTAAACATTGGTTTTTGTTAATGTTTACTTCTAGCTAGAATTACTAGCTAGAATGAATGTTCTAAGAGCTGCTAACTAGCTAATCTGTTTTGTCTTAAATCAGGAGGCAAAAATAATTTGCAGATGTAATTCTGGTAAAATAGAAAGAACTCTTCTAGTTTCATATATATGGGAGGGAGCACAGTTGCAAATACTGAATACTACCCAATATCTGCAGAATCAGACCAAGTTTATGAATTGATGTTTGGAAATGTGCTTTTTCTGCTGAGATTTTGGTAAGCAAATGGTTCATCAATAAATACAGCCTTCAAAAATGCAGTCTTGATTCAACATATGGATTTAGAAGACCAAAGATTCTTCCCATATGTTCTTAATGGAATCAGAAATGTTGGAAATTGTTTTTGTTTTTCTAAATGTGGTTGTAAGACTGACAGATTGCAAATTGATGTGTTTTGGTGTGCAGTTTAGATAAGTGAAGTCCAAGAAACATTTTCAGAGTGAACACTGGATTTGATGGTTGAACTAGATGAATATATAATTATATGATACATACCTTAGGAAATACTGTATTAGATAAATAAGTCTGTTTGCAGATAATCTGTTATTTTTTTTATGTTTGTTTCTTCATGTCTGTCATTTCAGGTTAAAGGTTTTACAGAGTTGAATGTTAAATGTTACAAATGTGTTTAGTATGGGTACAACGGAAAAATATAGTGTACAGTTTTATTTATTAACTCTGTGGCTCAGAAAAACTTTTTAAATGTCATGATTACAGTTTAAAATGTCCCTAGGTCTTTGCTAGAATTATTCAAATAGAAAGTTTGATTAATGTACATGTGATTTCCTCATCTAACAATGAAAAAGGATTCTATATATTCTATATATTCTATATATTATTAATTATTTCCAGGTTTTTAAAAAATTAAATGCATAGAAGATGTAAAAAACCCCCAAAACACCTTAGCTAAAACAATTACATGGTTCAGGTTTTTCAGAGAAAAGTGATAGCTGTTTTCTAATTCTGTTTTTCAGTTTCCATAGCTAGACGTGTCCAGGACCCATTAGCTGAGCTAGTGAAAATTGAGCCCAAACACCTAGGAGTTGGAATGTATCAGGTAAGATAATACCTATCATTTCATCTAAGTTTTCTGTCATGATATAGAGCAACACCAAAATGCTGCTTGATATTTCTCAACTAGTTAGTTATGTCTCCTTTAAAAGACATTCTCAGAGTTGATGGAATGATAGTAAATACTTAAAAGTCATAAACTGCCGTTTTTTAAATTTCTACTTTTAATGCTTGTGATTGAGACTCTGAAATGGCTGTAGCCAGATGTATAGTCTATTAAAAACATCAAATCAGACTGGTAACCTGATCTGTAAAGCTTTCTCTTTTTCTGTATTGTTACAGCAATGGGGTTTTAGCTCTTTGTGTAAAATACAATGAGATATTGATCCTCCATTTACAAGCCATTAATTAGTACTATTAGGTGCATTCCTTCTTAGAAGTTTGTAATAAAAGGGTTTGTTTTGAAGTTTTTCATTTAGTGAAGCTGAATTGGAAAATGTTTGACAATTGTGACTTTTTTATACCTTTTTGTAGGTTATTTTTGAGAAAAAAACTTTTACTTTCCAAGTTTCTTTACAAAGAGCATTATGTTAAAAAGTGGTACATAAGTTATTGTCATTTTATAGCATATTGGCATTGAATCAGGAAAGCATTTATGTATGTGCTTAAGTCTCACCAAATAAAGAAGCAAAAAAAAGAAAATGATCCAGAAAATATGGCATGTACTTTTCTCTATATTTTTGAAACTATAGAATGTGAGTAAATTTGGAAGACTACAGCAGAATTCAGAACAGAAAGCATAGAACTGTCTGGATCTGTTCTTTCAGGTCAGCTTATCAGTGTTAATGGGATAGAATGCAATTAGCAGCCTAGAATCCCTTGCTGCCAAGGTGGCAAAGAGAAGGTGTTACGAAAATCTTCCAGGAAATGTATGTCCTGTTTTGTTTTTACAGAACTGAGGTCAGCATTTTAGTTGGTTAAAGTAGAATTCAGAACTGCTTTTATAAGTCCTACTTGTATTACCACGGATGATAGAATTTATTCATGTTGCTTGCTAACTGCAAACGTATTGGTAAAGCCAACTTAAATAATCTTCTGGTATCAATTATACCATACTCTTTGAAAGATATTGTATTGAAGGGCTGAAACACTGTAGATTTCTTTAACATATGTATCCAGATTTCAGTAGAAATGTGCTTTAATGATGGCAGCTATAAATATAGGTGTGGTCGGTCATCTGGCAAAAAGAAGAGCTTCAGTCTGAAGTGTAGTTGGTTTCCTTACTTATGGAGACCCATGGCTTTAATTTATAACAGTAGCAGTGATATGTTGAAACAAAAATAATGAGAAGTGATACAGATTTTTGTTCATCCTTGCCTTAAGGAAAGACATATTAAAAAGAAAAAAGAACCTTGAAAAGCTATGTCAACATTTAGAGAAGTTGATTGCTTTTTTTTAAAACAGTAGTACCAAGATAGAATATTTTACCATTTACAGTATACTGTGAATTCTTAAGTACTAGGAGCTTGCATTGCTATGTTTAGAAAATACTGATTTAAATGCACACTGTCTCCTGTGGCCCATGTGGTCATTGTATGAGCATACATCTAAAGCAAAAAGACATGGAATTGTTGGTGGTCTTAGGGTTTTGGGATCATTATACTATGAATAGAATATTGCAATGAACAATACTCAGAGACTGCTGCTGGTGTAATTTACTTTTCATTCATTGAGAGCAAGGTAAGAGCCATGTTCCTGGCCCTTCCAGAGGAGGTTCTTGATCCACAACAGGTGTGTTGTGAGTAAATGCCCAACTGTGTTGTTTGTTATTGTCCAAATTGGTTAGATGAAAAGTTTTGGAGAAATAAATCCTAGAAGCCTAGGATAGAGGTAGACCTCAAATATTATTCATTCCCAAATATATGCATTTTTAATTCTTCTCATGGTTTGAATAAATCTCTGAGGTAGATACTCTGCTGGAGTTCCTAAGAATCACCACAGAAGCTATAGTGTGTTCGTTCAAAGATACATTCATTTCTCAAGTGCTGGATCTTAATGTGATATTACTGAAGGCAAACTCTTGAAAACAAAGTCAGTAGGTCTGCTGCCCTTTGGGCATAACAGCTCTCTTGTGGCACAGGAAGGCAATGAGAGGAGAAGAGCAATTAAGCTTTTCTGTCTTGTCTTCCTTTTAGAGAGACAGCCACTCGCTGGTGTCTCAGAAGACAGGTATGGAAAAAGCTGTTTTGTTATTACAGGGAGTAATGGCTGATATAGTTCCTCAGATAAGGAATATTTCAGGTAAAGAATTTTATAATATCCAAGGCAACTTGAAAGGTTTTATTACATTTTAATTTATAATCTAAATGCTGGCTGTAGCTTTTTATTAATTTCTGTGGGGAAATACACAGTGCAGTCTAGATCAGAAATACAATAGTCTTTTCACAGAGGTAGTTGCTTTCTTAGCCTATTGTAACTTTAAACCTGGCATTTAAATATGACCTTTCCTTTCTTAAACACCCCGAAATTGATATTTAAGAATCTGACAAATCCAGGTTTTGGCATTCCTGTTCTGAAAGAGGGATAGTGATTAGTCTGTCAGCAATTAGGCAGAGGCGGGCTGCGGCTGTGGGGCTGCCCATGGCCACGGAAGCCCTATAGCACAAGCGACATGGTGGTTTCTCCAGGGATGGTTGCACACTCACTGTGTTTTGATTGAACTCCCTGAGGGGATGATCTTGCCTTTTCTATTACTCCTACCCAAGTGCCCCAATCTTTTAGTGGTGTTGGTAGTGACTACATGATGTCCTGGGTTGGCATAACAGAGGGGCAGCAGTGCACAGCTTGCGAGGGAGTGGAGCTGGGGCAGCTGCCTTCACAGCAGCCTGACTGACTTGGGACATGGCCTCTGTTAGTTTAGGATAGCCAGAAGTCCCAAACTACTCTACTTAAAAGCCAGTGGCAGAGACAATAATTTCTGTCCTTTCTCAGAGGTTGAAGTAAGAGACTGGTGAAGCAGAATCTGCCTGATGAAGGCTGTAGCTTTTGTAATGCAACTATGGTACAGTAACAATTTGTGTTCAGCTGAGTGACCCTCTTGGGCAGGAGGTGCTCTGCTGCTATCAGCAATGATAGCAGTGTTACAGCAAAGTGAAGTGATCATGTACTAAATACACTGCTCACAATATGAGCTTGCCCAAAGTCTGTGGAGTGTGTGCCACACAAAGAGAGATGAGTGAAGGGGCTGCATCTTCTCCAGTTGCTGCTTCCATGGGATTCTGGATCCCTCCCATCTGATCTCTTGCTATTTAGTGTGCATGTTTGTGAGAATATTTGTGTTCTCTAGTTTTTCTAATTCAACTTTTCCAAGGAAATATGCTCACCTGGGTGTGGATACTTTGGATATGGAATTGCAAGTTCCCAAGTAGCAGGAGATCTGTGTAAATTGAGTCCCATCAGCTGGGATTTGTTTACTTATTTTAGATGAAAAAAAATTTGAAACTTGAACTTGGCCACCTGCTTTTATTCTCATTTCAATTTATGATTCTGAGTTTGTGCACTGCCAAGAAAATCAGCTTTGTCAGAGAAAAATAAACAGTCCCCAGATCTCCTAACAGGTATTTCCTTAAACAAAGAGAAGCACAACCTGATTTATTAGAGCCTCTCTCAGACTAAATTCCAATTGCCTAAAGGTCCTTGTCTTCCATCATCTTTATCTCATTAGGAAAATTGTTCTTTCCTTCCAGACAGGAACCTAGCCAAAATTAATTTATCACCTTCAGGCCATATTAGTATGATTTCTTCTGTAGTTGAACATGAAGATGATGCCCAGATTCTGCCTGATACAGAATATATTTGCCTTGTCACTTCCCCATACCAGTTCAAAGCTAAATTTCTATTCAGGGAGAAGCAGCTAGTGGCTCAAGACTTTATTATACTGTACACTGAATTTTGGTGATGAATTACCATTGCAGTTGTAATGATCTTGGAAGATACAGATAAGAGCTGAGAATAAAGCTGCTTCACAAAGGTTATGGTTAGGGAATTGAATTTCAGAGCAAAGAAAATTAACAAGAAGACAAAAAATCTTGACTCTCAAATAAAAACCCAACTTTTCAGAGGTAAGCGAAGCAGCACAAAGCGTAAACTTAAATCATAGTAAAGAGGGGAATTAATATACTTATAAAACATCAAAATCTGTATCTGTGTTGTGAGGCAGAGAAATGAGAACTAGAGCTAAAGTAATGTGTTAAGTTTGGTTGGTCTTTTGATGTTCATTTGATGTACAAAATATCTGGATCCTAAAAAATACCAGTAAACCAGTAACCTCTAGAGAAAGAGATAGATGGAGGTGAAACTCATCTGTAGCCTATGAACAAAATATGTGATCTGTGTTGTAGGATTAGAATTTTTGACAAATTCTGTGTAATATTAAAAAATGTATATGATGTCTGGTGTTGAAAAAGCAGCATCCTATTTGGTCTTTATAATTTTGGGAATCCAAAAATCTGTTCCTAATCTATTTTTAGGCGGTACCATCTTCGCTGTTGAACATGGCTGGAAAATTAGCATCCTAAAAGAATGTAAGGGTTAATATATGTAGTTCTGTGACCTCTGAAGCAGGGCAAAACTTGATTACAGATGTATCTGGAACATTTTGTGCCAAATAAATTAGATCTGTAAAGAATACTTTTAAGTATTCTCAAGAAAAAAAAAAAAAGATTGAGCTAATTCTTGTTTTGTTTTCTGTATAATGCTGTGAGGTCCTGATCAAAGGAACATTCCATAAAACCAAATCAGGGTGTCTGATAACTGAATCTGAAAATGTCTTTTTTTTTGTCCCTCTTGTCCGTGTTCCTTTCCATGGTCCTCTAGTTGTTGGAGTGCATTGGTTTTGCATTTGATTATTACCTGCAGGACATGTTATTGTTTTAGTTGCAATTTGATAGAGTTTTTCCCCACAAAGATGGGTATGTTTTGGTAAATGACAGTGCAGCTTTAGAGAATGCTTTTAATTAGATACTTTCTCTTTAGTTGGACTAGTTC